TCATTTTGATTACCTTCTTTCAAATGCATCCTAATAAAAAAAAAAAAAAAGATAGGCCTTCCCTGAAAGATAGCTGCATTTCTGCATTAAAGGAAAATAAGCATCACCAACTAATCCCTCAGTTAGAACCTTTTTGTTTAGTCCTATACTCTTTTGTTATTTAAATCTCCCATAAAACAAGTCTAGCGAGAAACTTGCTCTTTATGCTTAAAATAAAGCCAAAGGAAGTTGGAATGGATTTTATCACAGACTCCCAATTTCTGTCTTATAAAGAGAAATTTTAAAAGGATAGTAATATCCTTTTTGTTTGCCAAGGACGTAATATCCTTTTTGTTTACCTTTTCCTAGGTAAACTAGGAAAGGTTTAAAGTAACTTCTTTTTTCATCCACCCACAATCACCAAAGGAATAATGCCATCTCTGGAGGCTAAGGTCAGTCAGGATATTGAACATGCCCTCCTCCAGACAGAAGACTGAAAGCAAGAATAAATAGATGAATAATGTTGGTCATTGCTTTTAACAGCATAAAAACTGAAATACTTCAACCCATATGTCTCTTGGTATCCTGAAATTTTTACTTCTCTGCTTTCAAAGAATCAAAATACAATTTAGACCTTGTAGGAAACTACCCCAAGTTTTGCAGGCTCTAAAACACCTTACTTGGTACACCAGTCTCAAAGAGCTTCCCAAGACAAAGGAAAAAGAACAAATACTGGTATTAGAAAAACCACCTAAATTTCTCTTTGGCAATCATTTTAAACTTGTACCTTAAATTACAGCAAATACAGCTTTATGCTACATAAGTCAGCAGTTTCCTAAAAGTTTTAGGAAAACAGAATTATTCAAATAACACTATCATCCTGCACTACGCACTATTTAATTTTTTATTAGAATATCAGGGAATTTTCTTCCTTCACTTTCCTCTGCACAATCTTAAAGGATACTGGTATTGTAATAAACTATATGGACTTTAACCCAAAAACCAAACCCAGTGCCATAGAGTCAGTCCTACAGGACAGAGTAGAAATAACCCACAGTGTTTCCAAGGCTATAAATTTATATGAAAGCAGACTACCTTATCATTCTCCAGTGGAGTAGCTATTGAGTTTGAACCACCAACCTTTTGGTTAGCACCCAGATGCCTTAACTACTGTGCCACCAGAGCTCTTTATATGGGCTTTGTTATTGTTGTTATGTGCCATCGAGTCGTACCCAACTCATAGAGACCCCTCCTTGGGTTTCCGAGGCGGTATATCTATGGAAATAGATTGCCCAACGTTCCTTCCAAGGAGTGGCTGGTGGGTTTGAACCGCCAGCCTTCTGGTTAGCAGTCAAGTCCCTTAGGCACTACGCTACCAGAGCTCTTTATACGGGCTTTAGTACCAACAAATTAATTTACAACAAAAATTAGCAATATCATAACACACAGTTTAAAGAAACAAATGTTCAGAATAGTCATCATCTTCTACATGTATTTTTAAATCTATGTGATCACTTACTAATAAAGTAACTGCTCTAAAATTTTGATTCTCTGGCAAGAAGATGACAGAAATAGCCATATCTATAATCCCTCTCATTTATGTAAGTCAGCAATCTTTAACTCGGTCTCAGAAATGATGCTTCTGTAAGTTTTTATGATGAATACTGTCCATTTGATTTCTTAAAGAAGATTAAAATAGCCTGAGAAACTCAGGCACCTAGTAAGGTTTCCTTTGGAAATTTGAAAAATCTTGATCTATGTGAACAAATACTCTTAAGTCCTCATGGAAAGAGCATTTACTTATAAATAAATACTTTCAACAGAGCTAAAATGGTGGCAATTTTTACACATTTTGGATATAATTTTGTCTTCTTAAATAGTTTACTCAAAATAATTTGCTTATTCTTGACCACTCTGGGATTTAACTATGAAAATTAGAATATTATGCTAGCCTGATAAGATCTGAGATATTAGAGCCAGGTATTACGCTGTACTAGGAGTGCTGGGCTTTTCAAGTTATAGCTTTATTTCACAGGTTTTCTGATTTCTCCTACAGAGCAAAGTGATAGCTCTTGACTACCTGTTTCTGGGCTGCTGTCTTTAAGCCAGTAATTGGCAAACATTTTCTGTAAAAAGCCAGAAAGTCAGTAATATAGACTTGGAAGCCATATGGCCTCTTTCAAAACTAACAACACTATTAAGAGATAATAATTAAACAAATGCAAGTGGCTATGTTCCAATAAAACTTAAAGCCAACCAAATGGCCAGGTGACTGTGAATTACAAAACCATATAACTTATAGATTTAGTAACCAAACATTTAGACACACTAAACCTGTGTTTGGAGAGTTGAAAAGGTTCACTTTGAGTAACATACATGGACTTTTTTATCAATTTTGGATAAACTTGATTTATTTGATTTGAGGTTTCATTTATTAGTGACTCTCCTTTTAGTATATGCCTCCATGTTTCTGCACAAATTACCCATTAAACAGCCATTTTCATTATCAGAATTTCAACAGTTGGAATTTATATTTTTTTCCTTTGATTTAATGACAAAACCAAAAAAATACAATGACAGAGCACACCAATTCCTGGTCCTATAACACAGCAATAAGATACATTTTATTTCTGAATATATTTGTTTCATCAAGTTCAAACTATTTATACATTTAAGATCTAATGGTTTTTCTGGTTTTCCTCAGTTAACACCTCTAGCAAGAAGAAAATGTGACATTATTTTAGGACAAAACTTAGTCTCTCAATTTAAAAAGCAAGAAAACAGATAAACCGTTAATAAATTTACTTACACTTTCATCATCATCTTGTGCTTCAGAAATCTGGGAAATATATTTCTTAGGTATCACCAGAAAATGTGTTGGTGCTTGAGGGGAAATGTCATGAAAAGCAAGACACTAGGAAAAGAAAAACATCAAAGTTTTAGTATCATTTGGCAGGCAAACTTAACATTCTTTCCGAGTATTCACTGAGCACTAACTACATGCAAGGCATTGTATTAGGTGCAAAGAAAACAGAATTATATATAATACACATGGTCCCATGTGCCTTTTCACGGAACTTACAAACTAATGAAAAGATCAATTTTAAATAAAGGTCACTAAAGGTCACACATCTTACAAACAAAGAGTGAAATGAAAGATTATAAGAGGAAAATCTGATTTAGATTAGTGGTCAGGAACCACTCTGAGGTAGTAACATTTAAGCTGAGATCTAAAGGACAAGCAGAAACTAGTCTAATTGTCTACCTTTCATCTCATGCAAATTTGATATGAAAATCACACTGCCTTTCATATCTCCCCACACTCGGGTTTTTCAAATGTTTCTTCTGCTGCAATGATTCCCTTTCCCTCAACAGCAACTTTTGTCTAACTTAAACTGCTATTAATTCCTCAACTCTCCACAACCTCTGATTACTCCTTTTCCCCCATCACGCTCTGTGGTAATTAAGTTTCTGTGTCAACTTGGCTGGGCCTGGTTGAGTGGCTGGGCAGCTGGATGTAGTATTCCCCATGATGAGACTGGTAATCAACTCCATGGTGGAATCTACTGTGAGCAGCTGAGTAGCTGTGTGGTCTGCTACTTGTATATAAGGAGAAGCCTTGGGGAATGGTCTTTAGCTTACGGCATGCTTAAAGCCTGCGTGTAGTCGTGTAGCTGTACAGCAGCCTGCCATGCTCTGCCGACCTAGGGACTTTCAATGGACTTGAATTAATGGCCTGCCAGTGTGGCTTGGTAATATCAGGACTATGCCTTATTACTTGTCAACCTTGGGTTTGTTAGCCCCAGCAGCCAGCAGCTGAGTGAAGAAAACCCTCCAGCTTCAGTGAGCTGGGAACAGGAGACAGAGCTGAAGCCCAAGGCTGAGGGGCTTTCACCCAGGCCCTAGAACCTGGAACTTTGAACTTGGACTTAAAGCCTCCAAATTGTAAGAATAAACTCCTATTTGTTAAGGTCATCCCATTTGTGGTATATTCCTCTCAGAGAGGCACTAGGTAACCAAAACAACCCCCTTCTTCAGGTCAGGGGTGCCTGTTGTGTAATTTCCTGTGTTTTTCCTTTACTGCTTCCATTTGTCTGATATTTGATCAGTGCTTACTCTCGCCACTTTATTTAACTATTTAAGAAATTTATCTACTCTCTTGTAGAACTGAGCATTTACACAAATCATTTACCACACTTGAAATGTCTGTAAATAAACATATTACATGAATGTTTTCAAATTTCTTGTTCTCTGGTGAAGGTGGTAGCTGCTCAGAACTGATCCATGCTTATCTGTGGCACAAATAATTTTGGTACGCCATAAAAAATGCTGTATCAGATTGTTTCATAGTGTTAAACTTGGGTTTAATGGGTTCAAAAGTCAGTATTTCAATGATCACTTGGAAAAGGCAGCAGCAAATTTTTAAAAATATTTTTCCTAAAACAATTTCCCCCAAATAATGATAAATAAGGTATTTAATTTAATTGACTCTAGGAAACGAAACTGTAGATACGTTTGGATCTAATACCACTAGCACAGCATAAAATGTTTCTCTGATAATCCATACTTAAATTAACAAAAAGTTTACAAAATTTCTAAATGAACCAATCTACTGTCCAGCTTTATTTGAAATACCAGGAAAAAAAAAAAAACTCACTGCGAGTCAATTCCGACTCATAGCGACCCTCACTGGGTTTCCAAAGCGGTAAATATTTACAGAGGTATATTGCCCCATCTTCCTTCGCGGAGTAGCTGGGGATTTGAACCACCAACCTTTTGGTTAGCAGTCAAATACTTTAGGTACTATATCACAAACCCATACATACAACAGCCCCCTAAATCTTTCGCACAAGACGTCTCAAAGTCATGTCAAGTCGGCCTTTCGAAAACAGAATTTCACCTATAATGAGGTCAACACAAACTACAAAATTTCGGGTCGCCTATGGCAAGTGTTTGGCATAAAATTGTTTCCTGTCGAAAACAAAAGAAACCATTCAACTGCGTACACATGGAAAATCTTCAGTGGGAGAGTCCATAAGAAAGCAAATCCCAGACGCGACCCCATTCCTAATCTCCGAGCCAGGGTTGACCTGCGCGGAAGCGGCCTGCGGGTGGGCCCCGGCCCTAGAGCGCAGTGCGGCAAGAGGCGCCCGGGAACGCCCCTGGCTGGCCGGCTGTGCGCGGGAGATCGCGGAGATTGGGCCCAAGTCAAGGCCGGATCGGGTGTCTCCCAGTCAGGCAGAGAGCGGGCGAGATTGCGAGATTCCTGACATAGGCAAACTCTGGTGCAGCTGGGCAGCTGGCAGGCGACCACACCGAGGACTCGGCGCGCCCCCCACACGCGCTCAGACTCCACGGACTGGACACCGCGAATTGCTGGAGGCCTGGCCCGCGCTGGGGCTGATAACAAGTAACCGGACCGCCGGCACGAGCCGGCAGGCCGCCTCCGAGCGGCCGCGGCCCTGCCCTCTGGCGGGGGGCCCGCGACAGAGGTCAAGCAGATCCCCGGCCAGAGAGGCCGGGTCCCTTTCCTTCTCCACCGCGCTGCCTAAACCTTCCCTCCCCTCTGCGGAAAATCCGAGTGTCCACGGGCCGCTGCTCCCGCTTCAGCCCACGAGCGAGGCGGTACTCGGTGCCTACCTGGTCATCCTCAAAAATTATTTTGGCTGGGATTTCCTTGCGGATGATCTTCCCGAAGATTGTGTCACCACCAGGCCGAGCGGCCTGAGCCTTGGCGATCTCATCTGCCATCTCAGTCCCCCTCCTGCGCCACCGGCTCGGTGAAAAGCCCAGGAGAAGGAAGGAGCTGGGGTAGCCGGAGGGAGGCGGGAGCGCGCGGCCAAGCCTGCGTGGGGACCGCTGCTTGCGCGACGGAGCTGGCCCTGCGCGTGCGCATTAGAGATCTGAGCGGCGGCTGTGGAGGGCGCGCGGGAACCTTAGAGGGAAATGTATGGCGAGACCAAGTTGAAGGAGGTTCCTAATCTGAAGTTCCAAGGAACCTCAATGAAACTTTTATTGTTTAATTTTCTTTCCTTCCTTTCTTCATTTCGTACCTTTTCTCCTTCCATCCATCTCTTTTTCGGGGAGTGGATTTTCTGAGATAAGCCCTTCTTCAGTTACCTATGGATGCTTGTAGGAAAAGTTGGATATTGTACTGAAAAGACTTAATAATCAAAGTGTGCTGGAAACATTAGTTGGCGGAGATCCCATACCACTTCTCGGGGATTAGGGTCGCGATAAAATTGTATTCGTTTTCATTTTTGCAGCAGTGTTTCACTTTTCGGCTACATAAAGTCTTGTTTCCACCAATTAACCCCTCCACTGGGCAGTCTACAACTGACTGGGAAACCCAAAGGGGGTCGCTATGAGTCAGAATCCAGAATGACTCCAAGGCAGTGAGTTTGGGTTTTTTTGTTTGTTTGTTTTGCATCGGTTTTTCTCTCTAGAAGTGGTTCTTAACCCTGACTACACGTTAAAATCATTTCGCTTTAAAAATTCCGACACCCTGGCCAGACCACAAATCAATTAAACTGGAATCTCTGGTTGTGGGACCTAAACATTGGTAGTGTGTAAACCTCCCCAAGTAATTCCAATCCAAGTTTGAAAATGACTTCTAGAAAGAACTATTCCCAGCAGTAATTAATGTTACATGCCCCATCTTAAAATTTTTCTTAACCACATACCGCCCTCCATATCTCTGCTCCCTTTTCAGAGTCTTCTATATATTGTGTCCTCTTTCTCATCTTTCTTTTTCAAACTCATTTCCCTCTTGTCAGGTTACTATGGGCCTGCACTCAGAAAATCCTATGGCAGCTCCTGTTCTGATCATACAGTACCTCTCCACATCATTTGGTTGCAAGTGACCATGCTCTCCTTTCAACAATACTCTTCACTCTCCTGGTTTTGCTCTCACCTCTTCTAGCCTACTTCACCCCACCACCAAACCAGCATCCCCTGCCCAGAGTACTTCAATGGCCTCCTAACTAGCCTCTGCTTCCACTATAGTCAATTTGCCATGCAACACCCAAAACAATCTTCGTAAAATATAAATCATGATGTCATTCTCCTGCTGGTAATATTCTAAGACTTTGCATCACACTCAAAACAAGATCTAACATCTTTATAGGATTCTATGTGATCAGGCCCATGGCTGCCTGTTTTACCTCATTTCCTTCCATTTCCACCTTATTGACGGGCTTTACCCATACTGGGTGTGGGAGACAGTATAATGGTCCCCCCAAAGATGTCCATGGGAGCTCTTGTAGCATAGTGCCTAACGCACTTGACTGCTAACCAGAAGGCTGGTGGTTCAAACCCATCAGCCACTCCTCGGAAGGAAGATGAGGCAATCTACTTCTGTAGTGATACTGCCTCGGAAACCTAAGGAGGGGTTGCTATGAGTCAGGTCCGACTCGATGCCACATTAACAACAACAAAGATGTCCATAAATCCTTGAAACCTATAAATATGTTACTTTATATGGCCAAGGGGACTTGAGGTGGGAAGATTATCCAGGTGGCCCTAATGTAATCACAAAGAGAGGGAGGTGAAGCAGAAGAGTGACAGATTTGAAGATGCTTTCTTGCTGGCTTTGAAGATGGAAGGGCCCATGAACAAAGGAATGCAGACAGTATTCTGGACGTGAAAAATTCAAACTGGATTTTACTGGGCTAAAATCAAGGTGACAGCTGGGCTACATTCTTTCTGGAGGCTCTAAGGGAGAATCCATTCCTTTGCCTTTTCCAACTTTTAGAGGCCACCTCCCTTCCATCTTCAGAGTCAGCAGCATAGTATCTTCAAACCTCTCCTTGCCTCTGCTTCCTTCTTCCACTTACAAGGAAGGATCCTTGTGATTACATTGGGCCCACCTAGATAAGTCATGCTACTCTTCCCATCTCAAAATCTTTAATCACATCTGTTTTATCTGTAATGTATTCAGAAACTTGAGATTACGACATGGACATCTTTGAGAGACCATTGTAGAGCTCCATGAACTTACACGATGAACATGTTGGAATTTTTTGTTCAGATCTGGCTCCCACATTTTGACATGCAGACAAACCAGGACATGTTCTCAGAAGAACAATCAGGATAGTAAAGAGCCAACTCATTTGTAGAACAGCTGAAACTCAATCTAAACCACTACCATTGAGTCGATTCTGCCTCATAGCAACCCTGTAGGAAAGAGAACTGCCTCATTGAATTTACAAGGCTATAAATGTTTATGGTAGCAGACTGCCTCATTTCTTTCCCACAGAGTGGCAGGTAGGCTTGAACCGCTGACCTTGTGGTTGGCAGCTGAATGCTGTTCCTTCAGAACAGCTAAAGGAATCATATATTTATATAAGAGAAGAGAAGCCTCAGGACACGGCACTTGGGGAACTATATTTCCAAATACTGCCAGATGAGGGATTTTGGTTAGGTGAATACATAACTCTCACTTGCCAGAAATTATCACAATGAATTACCAATTTTCAGGAAATTTGGTTATCATCCTAAATGGGAAATGAATCATAGCATCTTTTAATCATTTGTTAGCATTCAGAAGGCACTGCAATGCAATGTCACAAGACAGAATTTGTTTCCTGGACAAAAGACAGTAAGGTAGGTTTCACTGCTTGATTATATTGAGAGGTTTTCCGCAAATTGAATGTATCTTAATAAAAACACAAAGTCAACTATTATCTTGCTAGGTCAGGATGATTTGCCAATATTCTTTCAGATGTCATAAATTACTATTGTAGAGCAACATCATGGGATCTGCTTAAAGTGAAAGCAAAACAGGTTTACTGAAGGATAGCAAGGGAGTGGACCTGGAAGACATCCAAATTCACAGTGATGATAGCTGCTCTGCAGAACAATGAGGAAGAAAACATTTCTGTACAGTTGGAGCAGGAACTAAAAGTTACAAAATAATACTTGGCTGAAAGACAATCAGGGGAGTCAGAGGCAGGATAGTAAAAGCTAGGATTTGGCAGGGATAGGTGGATAATATATGTGGGATTACATGATGATGGTCCACGGACAGGTTTTTCGAGTAACCTGTAAAAATTACTTTCTCAATCATGTCTGTTTTTGACAGTCTATTGTCAAGATTTATCAATAATGCTGTGCATTAAGACTTTTCTGGTATAAGTTACGTCTTACATTTCTATACCCTTTGGGAATAGATCCTACACCTGCCAGACCTCAGAGAAAAAGAATGTCTCTTTAGGGCAGCATCAAGGTTAGGTCCACATCTAGATTAGAGAAACATTGTTAGAAAGGGCAGCTTTAAAATTCAACATGGATTCTAGGCTCAAGTCAAGATTTTAAAAAGGAGCTAAGGTAACGCTTTCAAACTGTTCTATTTATACACAAGAAGTATCTCTGATTTTAAACTGTCATACAATCACAGAGAAGAAAATGGGCCTTGGAAATACATCAGCGCAAACCTTTCACTCTTAATGTGTAAATGTTATCTAAACTGTAATCTGAAAGGCTATGGGGGTAGGGAAAACTACCAATGAAGATATGGTTGAGAATTTTGTTGATGCATGCAAGAGCAAAAGTTAAAAGACACTTAAATAAACGCTATATGATTGTTTGTGAATAAACATGATACCAGTAACATCCACTTCCGACTTTATTGACCAGCAAAACCAAGGAATAGGACAAGTAAAGGAGGCAAAATATTTAGGCTTTGGGGTTAGATACTTAAGACTAGTATCCAGACCTGCATTTAGTAGCCGTGGGATCTAGGCGAGTAACTCATCCTTACCTTCCGAGTGAAATGAGAAAATGAATGTACAAATTGTGCCTTTAGGAGTTAGCGTTCCAATGTCCGCTGTAGTTGTTAGAACTTAGTTCTTATTTTATGTACGTTCCCAAAAAGACACTCACAACCGGGAAAAGTCAAAATAAGGTCCCTTTAATAAACGACGTCAAACAAAAGGTAATAGCACATAAGTGCCGAAGGATTCCGTTACATCCCAAACCACCTTAACGTCCCCTCGAAGTGGCCGGAAGTGACACTGCCCCTCACTAACATGGCATCGAGGTAATTTCCGTTCTCCTCTCTCTAGTAATTGGACTCGGCAGCTTCTCGCGGGTTTAGCAGTTTCCACCCGTTTAGGAGACACCTCTTCCACATCCTTTCAACGAAGGAGGGACTACAACGCAGTTGCTGCCGGGTGATTGGTTGAGGAACGTTAGGAACGTGGCTACGGAGAGTTGGAGAGTCCTTGCTCAGCAGTGATTGGTTGTCGAGAGGCGGGGGCCACTCGACCGAGCGAGAGGTGGTTGCAGCCGCAAGAAGAGCTATGGGTCAGGCGGCCAAGGTGACAGGGCTGGGGCGGAAGGTGGGTGCGATGCTGATGGGGAGGGTAAGTTCACAGCCTTGCGAAAGTTGTCTGGGGTCTCTTTAGCTGAAGTGCCACACTCTCCACGGTGGATTTCGTTATCGACCCTGAGGAGCCCGGCAACCCACCCCGAGGGGTTATCGAGAATTTGTGCAAGTGCAGAGAGGGAGGGAAGCATCAGTGTGGTTCCTGCTTCTTGGTGCTATCGGGTTCCGGAGTGTTTCTCCGTCGTGCAAGCTTGAGTTCTGCCCCCGTTTAGTTATCTGGCCGTGTATTTGTGTGGGGGACCGATTTCACATCCCTGGGAAGTGTACAGGCGCTAACCAGGGCCACAACCATCCAATAAGGTTAAAATTTTATTCGGATAACCAGAAGGTGCGCAGAAGTATAGGAAACAAGGAAACCACGTCCCAGCAAAATCACTTGGCAAAAGTAGCACTTTTCGAGACAATGGAGACTGGTGAGATCTGAATGCTATCAGTGAGGTTGGGAAATGTCAGCCCTGCCTTGGTCCTAGCCCTGAGGACCGGCTCGTAGATTCCTGTTTCTCATCGAACTGATCCACGTTGCTGCTCGGTGCACAGTTCTCAGAAATCAACCATTCCTAACCTAAATGCTATCAGCATGGCTGGTTGAGACCTATACCTGTCACTTGCTAAAACAGGCATAGGCAGCTGCAGTATGGTGAGGAAAAGAGATACTTGACAAAAATAGGGAGCCACCAAGCGGTGCATCATGTACTATTGAACTTGGTGTTCTCAGCATCAGTAGAAACAAAATTGTAAAGGATTGTTCAGTCAGAAATTTATTCAGTGTCTACAATAACTAAGGAGCTCTGGTAGGGTAGTGCCTAAGGCACTTGACTGCTAACCAGAAGGCTGGCTGTTCAAACCCACCAGCCACTCCTCCGAAGGAAGGTTGGGCAATCTACTTTCATAGTGATACCGCCTCTGAAACCCAAGGAGGGGTCGCTATGAGTAGGTCTGACTCCACGGCACATAACAACTACAATAGTTATTTTTGTTATACTATTTTTGTTACATTTTTGTTACTAGTTATACTATCTAGGCATAACAGAAATAATAATAAACAGACCATTTTTTGACTTCTGTAAAGATGTCTAGCAAGATTTTAAACAACATTAATTAAAATTGTGATAAGTGCTTTGAACTGAAAATACAATGTGTTTTATGAGTATATAACTGAGATTTAACCTGTTTGGAGGGATAGAAAAAAAGATCTCTCAAGTGTAAATTAAATTGAGACCTGAAGTTCCATTAGAAATTAGGTAGGAGAAAACAAACAAACAAACAAAAAGTATTCCAGAAAGAGGAACATTCCTTGAAGTAGAAAGCTGCTTGGAAAACTTGGATACGTGAAAATAAATAGCATCCATTTTAAAAACACTCATGGTGAGGGTGACTGTCTGTTGGGGGTACCTGGGTGGAGCTAAGGGTCAACATACTTAAGTGCTAATGGAAAAGTTGGAGTTTTGAGTCTACCCATAGGTGCATTGGAAAAAACGGCCTGGCAGTGTACTTCCAAAAAATAGCCATTGAAAACCCTATGGAGCACAGCTCTACCCTGACACACATGGTGTCATCATGAGTGGGAATGAACTCCAAGGCAACTGGTTACAGTCTACAAAAGATACCTGTGCCAAATACAGAGGATACATAGGTAACCATGAAGCCTTTGAAATATAGAACAACAGCAAGTAACACAGCATGTAGTATTGTAGCAAAATAAGTGCTCAGTGCTATAGGTGGACTTGAGAGTGGGAGTGGGGGCTCATAACAGACTTGGAAGGTCTAAGGAGGTGATAACTATCTGAAGTAAAACCAGTACAGAAATTATACCATATATCCTTTAAATTAGCTAGCCCATTTAGTCAACAAAATTGATAATATTTTTTCCAAGCTTACAATAAGTGACAACGTCAAGTTCAAACTGATCTGACTGTTAAGATTATACTTTGTATGCTACCTAAATTTCTCTAATCAGTGTAAGTTAATGAGAAGGAGAAGACCATCTGTTACCTAGCCTTCTGCATAATAAAAGTTTATTAGCTCAAAGGGTATAATGATGACTTTTTTTTTTAGTTAGTCCTACTTAAACTAGTGATGCTGGTGGTTGTACTAATGGAGACACTCTTCTTTCTCTTTTTTCTAAGCAGTATGTGTCAACCATTAGGTTTACTTACCTCTCACTTTCTTCTTAATTCTGTGCAACCTGTGTTCCGCCATTCTTGCACTATTAAGCTCCCTAGGTTTCTGCAGTGTTCTATGCTATCCTAGCTTCTATGCCTCAACACTCTTTTTTTTTTTTTTAATAATTCCAGACTTACAAAATGTTGCAAAAATAGTACACAGTATCCCCAGCTTCCCTAACTATTAACATTTATCACATTTGTTCCCCTAGTCTCTTTCAATCACTCCTTTTTTAAATATTAAGTTATCTTTTCTCTCTTGTCTCTTGCATTGAATGTTTCCAAGGTTCTGTTCTCAATTATCCCCTCATGCTTCTACTTACTCTACTTGCTTACTCATGGATTCTGTTTTCAAGGCTTCTGTTTCAGTGATATCCTAATCTACAACTCTACCACTAATGACCCCCCTGAACTTCAACTTCCTGTTCAACATTATTGCCATCATATTAAACTGAACATGTTTAAAATAAAACTTATTTTCTTGTCATTTCTGTTTAAGGCACTAGTATTCTCTCAGATTGGAAACTTTGAACTTATATCTTTGACCCTTTACTTTCCATTGATCCTAGTCTTCCAATTAATTACTGCATTAGTTTCCTGTGGCTGCTATAATAAATTGCCACGGAGTGGATGACTTGAAACAACAGAAATTTATTCTCTCACAGCTTATTTCAGAAGTACAAAATCAAGGTGTCAACAGGTTTGGTTCCTTCTGGAGCTCTGAGGGAGAAACCATCCCATGCCAATATCCTACCTCCTGATGGTTGCTGACAGTTACAGGTGTTCTTAGCTTATAGATGCATTACTTCACCCTGTGCATCCATCTTCCCATCACTATCATCTCTATGTCTCTTTCTCTGTCTCTTATAAGGACAGTCATGGGATTTGGGGCCCATCCTAGTCCAGTTTGACCTCATCTCCATACTGAATTACATCTACAAAGACTCTATTTCCAAATAAGGTCACATTCTGAGGTTCCAAGTAGACATGAATTCTGGGGAGACACCCAGTACAGTCACTAAGTTCAGTCTGTTCTTTCTTAGATTTTTGTTGTTGTTGTTCTGGTCCTTCTCCTTGCCTACTACCATCACCCTAGTCTAGGCAGTTAATACTGTTGTGCTGCATTTCTTCTCCAACCTTCCTCCCTCCTAGTTAAACATTGTGTTACTGTCTTGCTCAGAATTGTTTAGTGATTCTTCATTATCTGTAGCATAAAGTCAAAACCAATCATTCATCCCATAAACATGAATTGAGCACCCAATAAGTCAGGTCTTATACTGGCCTTAAGATAAAAATATAATGCCCTTATTCTGAAAGAACTCAGTCTGATGCTAGAGACAGATACCTAAGTATAACTTAAAATATGAAAAAAGTGCTTTAACAAGTGTGACAAATGCTGTGGCAGTACAGAGAAAAAGAAACCTGTTGCCATCAAGTGGATTGTGACTGTATAAGATGGAGTAGAACTTCCCCCAAAGGCTTTCCAGGCCTGTTCTGTAGGGAAGCAGACTGTCACATCTTTCTCCTATGGAAAGCTGGTGAATTTGAACCACTAACCTTTTGGTTAGCAGCCAGGTGCTTAATGACTACGCCACCAGGGCTCTTCGTGGAAGCACAGAGATGGAGCATTTAATTCTTCCTGAAATAGTCAGGAAGCATTACAGCAAAGGTGAGGTTTGCGAGAAATCTTGAAAGGTAGATAGGAGTTTCCTAGATAATGAAGGGATAAACAGTAACTCCAGACATACAAACAACTTGTACAAAAGCCAAGGAGCTGTGTTTAAGGGACTATGGAGTGGATTAGTGAAAGATCAAGTTAAGTGAGATTGAGAGTCAGGTGTGCTGTGTGTGGCAGAGACTGCTAGTTGTGTTTTACCCTCATATCTGTTCTCTTCCTCCTTAACAATAGAGCCTTCAGTTTTTTCATTTGGCACTTAGCTGGCAGCGATATATACATTTTCAAGGTTCCCTAATGGTTATGTCCAATGAAATATAAATGAAAATATAATAGGAAAACTAAAAAAGCTAACTGGCCTGCGCCTTTAATCCTTTTTGGTCCTCATCTTTTGTTGCCTGGATGGAAGATGTGGCAGCTGGAGCGCTAGCCCCCTTGGATCGGGAAGATTAAAGTCAAACCCATTGGAATAGTAGATTGATAACTAGAAGGAGCCTAGGTCCCTAGTGATTTCATGGGGCTACTAACCTAACCCTGGAGTGGTTACCTCCAGACTTTGTTTATATTGTTATTGTGTGCCATCCAGTCAGTTCCAACTCAGTGACCCTTTAGGACAGAATAGAACTGCCCCACAGGGTTGTGTAGGTTGTAATCTTTACAGGAGCAGAAAACTCACCAGCTCTTTTCTTCCATACTGCCCTCTGTTCTCCCATGGTTGATCGTTTTCAAAGAGGTATCTAGCTGATTCAAATGTTCATATATGCCTGTCTGTTCCTTGGCTGGAAGCAATAGGAGTGAGTTCAATGCCAGACTTGAAGTGCTGTAGTCTTAGGGGTCTCACCAGGCTCTATCAGACCACCAAACCTGGTCTTTTTTTATGATTCTGAGTTTTGTTCCACCAGGACCAACCATTATGATGCCAGTCAGAACAGTCTATAGTGATAGCCAGGCACCATCTAGTCCATTTGGTCTCAGAGCAGATGAGGTTGTGCTGCATGAAGTCTTGTTTCTCCTCTGAGTTTTTTGGGGTTTTGCGTACTGTTTTGATCCTCAGTAGAGGCCAATAGTAGTTTCTTAGATAGCCCCTTTCAGGCTTTTAAGATGTCAGACACTACTGATTTCATTAGGATGCAGATCATG